AAACGAAATTAAACAGCGACACCGTTGTTGCACCTACGTACGTTTACACTCACTGACAGTTTGCCATGTACTAAAGTCGCATATTCCAAACAATCGCCCGATTCCAAGTCGTTTTCATTACATTTTCCCTGTTGCGAGTTTAACTCACCGCCCGCCAGCCACCGCTGCGCTAAACGACCCTCTTTTTTCTCTTATTTGATACTCAGCTATGTATATTGGGGCGATTTTTTGGTTTCTTTAATTTTTCCAACCCACTACATACATATTGTATCAGCGGCGCGCGTTCATGCCAGACAGCCAGCCGGTCAGCTGAGTGGTTAAGCAAACGTCAATCAAATATTAGCCAAAATAAAAAGCATCGATGCTAATTAGCTATGCAGCTGTTCCCTAGCACCAGCTACATAAATCATTCAGAATTTACCTGTCTGCGCTGGCGCTCACTAATTTTAGCTTCTGATATTTACAGTTTAGCGTCTAGGTTTTCCTACTTTTTGCTGTTGTTGCAAAGAAAAATAAACTATGCTTAATATTTTCCAGCTCGAGTGCTGTTTCACATATTCCATTTTCTACTAGTCCGCCACATAATTTCTCTCGCTTCGTTCCTATTCAACGATTTCGTTTCCAAACATTTTCTCTGCTCCAGCAATGTTCCAATTGCAGTTTCATTTCCAGCTGGTTCCAGCAGCAACACCAATTCCGGTTGGTGTTCCCCAATTGTCATTTCATTTCCATTCGCTAGACTGCGCGCATTTTGACAGCTCAAGCACTCAGCTGGTTTGTTTGCTTGCTGCCTTGTCATCGAAGCCAGATAACTGCCCGCCACTCTCAACCCCCCCTGGGCTGTGACTATTCGTTTCGCTTGTAAACAGAGACAAAAGGCGATTGGCCTTTGTTGTTTGCACATTAGCGAGATTACGTTACTTCACCAAGTATTCGTTCATGCATGAGCCAGTCTGGATTTTTGTTAGCGTATTAGCGCTTTTGTGGTGTTTTGCTAGTCGACAATCAGCTGATACTTATATTTTACGTTCCTTCTCTTATTTGACATTCTATATGCTGTTTTCTGTTTTGTTTTGTCTGCAATTCGCTCGTTCGAGATCAGTTAGTTTTTGCAGCAGCGAGTTTGACTGGTTAAGCTATGTTTACATCGGTCAAAGTTGCGGTAAATAAAAATTGACAGCGGTACAATTCAATATACACACATACATACATACATACATGATATTGAAAGGAAAACCAGCGAACCTATAGAGAGAGTGAAGGTACGTATGGATATCATCAAGATGTTCAGAGACAATATTGATAGGTAGCAGCAAGACCGTAGAGATAAAAAGACTCAGTGTTGGATCAGAAACTATAATATCAAAGCCCGAGTTGATCCCGATCAACGCTGCCGTCTGTTTATGCTTTTAAACATATTAAAAGAGTATTGGTTAGTGAAGTGGTCAGCTCAGTCTTACTCTACGGTCCTCCAATTTGGGCTGAAGCAATCGGTTTAAAATATAATGCACTAACGACTCCTTGTGGCTTCCGAACTATATCCGATGAAGCATCCTTCGTAATTGCCGGATTGATTCGAGTAGATATCCTAGCAAACGTAATACAAAGAATGTACAAGAGCATATCTGTGGGAAATACCAGTTTAAACCGAAAAGGAGTCCCAGAGCAAGAGAGATGTCGCTCTATAAAAATCTGTCAAAAGCATTGGGTGAATCGGAAAAGGGAAGCTAGACTCACAAGCTCATTCCATTAAAAATTGGATGAAAATATTCCCTGGCCCCTATCGAGAGTATTTAAAGAGATTTGGATACTGTTCGACTGCTCGACGGTCTTATGGAAAATGCGACTCATAGTTTTCTTTTATCTTAGGTATGCCACTGAAAGGCGAAACATACTGCAGGGAGCAACGTTGTAGACAATATGTTGAATTCAAAAGAGAACTAGCCTGAAATATGCGCACATATCACTTAAAGTGTTAAGACGATCTGAATCTAAATAGAGCCGGTTAAGTAACGCAGGGCGCCTATTGACCAACCAGCACCGTAAGGTAATACCTTAGATGGCCGCGGGGAGAGTGGTTTCTGGAGAGGTTTAGCACGCAGGTGTAGCTTTGAGGCTGAAAGTGCTGCATACTACTATGCCGGTATGGTAGAACTCACGGGAGATCCCTTTTAACGGGCGTCATACCAGAAAAAAAAACTTCCATATACATATAGCCAAAATAATAACTAACAAAGGAAATAGTCAAAAACAATTGGGTTACTCTCATCTCAAATCGATGGTCCCGAGCTGGTATATCTTAGCTGGACAATAGCCGTCAATCTTTCTTATCTTGAATGCCGCGCGAAAGACTACCTTAAGTCGATGAGCTATCCCAACATTGTACTAACTCTGCGCTGGCAGACATTCTATCCTAAATAACTCTGACGCGCCTATTGCTTGTGTCGCAACTCTACAGCTTAACCGAGTTTGACCTACGACAAAAGAAGGCGCACCTGCGTTAGGATAGTTGGATTGATAGCGTTGAGTTAGTACAAAGTCAAGAAAGATCATCGAGTTAAGATAGTCTTTTGCACGGCATTTAAGATAGGATAGATTTGCAGCTATTGACCAGCTCAGATAAAATAGCTTGGAGCGAAAAAATTAGTCAAAAAAGAGTACATAATTCATTCAGAAATTTGACAAGGTACAAAGGTTTGCATAACGGAGAGCATGAAAACGACCGGCATAGAAAGCATGCAAGCTCTACTTAAAATAATACCGCTCCATATAGCAATTGAATAGAAAGTTTCTACTTAAGGTGATAACCTCAAGCAGGGCAACCTAAAACGGGAAACTTGGGATCTTAAGAGGTTTGGGCATTGTCGTCGCCAAACCTCAGATTAAAGACCACGTTCATTCCACCATAAGCGTGCATACGCTGTATAAGATACGTCCCTAAACCTGGATGGTCCAAGTCGTCAAATACTGATAAATATTATTTGCTCTATTTGTTCCATGGTAGTCGTAAAACTTTTTGTGGGTCAGCTAGCTGTAAGTTAGCCTAGCAGACTTACATATATTCAACTTTTTGTTTTTGATTTTTCGGAAATATATGCAGGAATTATGTGCTCATTATGGCCACTAAAAACAATTTAGGTGCTCAACTGGTTTGCGAGAAATTCGCTAAAATATTGAAAACCTATTTATAATCAATAATATTTATTAATAATTAGCCACTTGGGTCAGAACCATTATGAGTGAGTGTGAATTAATATTCTAGGAGGAAACAGCTTTTGGTGCAAAGCTAATTTTTTCGAGCTTTATCACTACTGCCATATAGCGTCATAGTCTTCAGATCGTAACGCCATACATTACAGAGATTTTGGACACAGGGAAATGTGGTGTTACTGCCTCTAACTACATAGCACATCCAAAACTCTTCAGCAGGTATCGAAAGTCTAGAGAAAGAAGTCTGATGAGGAGATGTGGTGATCTTCGAAATGGCAGCTATAACTTCTACCGCTTAGACTTTGTTGCTTTTTCCATTTTTTCCTAAAAAACAAACAATAGTGGCACAAAACTAATTAATTTTTTTTTTTTTTAATTCTTTTAATTTAGTATGTATTTAATTTATTTTATCTATTTGAATAAATAAAATTTTTCAAGCAGATGGCAACCCTCCTAAAAAATATTCTCAGCTGTAGGTCTTCCTAAATATTTAATTTATCTTATCAATTTGAATAAATAAAATTTTTCAAGCAGATGGCAACCCACTTAAGAAATATTTTCGGTTATAAGCCTTCTTAAACCTTTCTAGTTTGATACCCATAGTGTAATATTTAATTTTTCTTATCAATTTAATTCAATTAAATTGTTCAACCCTCAAAAATAATTTTGGCTCCAAGCCATTGCCAGGCAGCCAGTAGGCTCGCGAGGCAATAAGCGCTTTGTTTGTTATGTGTGCGTGTGTATATTGCCTGTTACTACTCTAAGGCTTCTTAGCACTCCTTTTAACACCCATATTGCGATATTTCCTTTACCTTATCAATTTACTTAAACTAAAATTTTCAAACTGGTGGCAACTCTCTAAATTTTTTTCTTTTTAAACCATCCGGATAGTATACTGAGCAAATCAGAAAAGAAATATTCAAATCGATGAATCCGTTTTCGAGTTTTTGCCTTCTAACTGAATATTTTTATAGTATAACGACGCCTAACCGCAAAAACAAGATAACTCGCATTTTTTTAATTCTTATTTTTTTTATGCAGAAATGTTTCTAGAGCAACGGTGTTATTATATATAATAGATAAACGTATGTAGCATAAAATTATCACATTAATTTGAGTTATCCACAAAGGAACTGCAACTAATCTGTCTGCCTTCTTATTATGCCATCCATTAATAGAAATAATTATGCAGAATCCACTTGATGTGGTCAAAAAAATGCATGCATGTGCATATAATTATATATGTAGATATATGTTTATGGCAATATTATATACAGACAGATACATTTTTTTCATATGTCTGTGTTGACACGCGTACACGAATTCGTTGAGAAAGCCATACAGCGAAAGTAACAGCAATTAAAAACATTTCCAAATAGAAAATATGATATACTTATGTATGTACATAGAAGTCAATTATTATTCCAGAATAATTTCCGTTTAATCACAAGCAAAGCTGCAATACTCTCCTTCAAGGTGAAAAGTCAAAACCAACAAAATCTGCAGGAAAATTAACTTGAGATTACAGACTACAGAAATGAACAACAACAATGTGGGTTGAAGCGATCGATAAAAGTAGATATGTATGCACAAGTAATTAATTGGTAAACAGTATACTTTTCTTAGTAAATATCAAAAGGCCTTAAATCCTCATAGGCGCCAGCAAAAGTTAGCCGCTAAGTACAGTTGCTCCTCGGCAGAGGAAAGGATGTTGAATAAATAATTGGGTGGATACAAACTTATAAATACATACATATAAACAAAAGTAATTTATGCACTTTTACACTTACCTGATCTATGTCGAAATCCCATTCCGGCGAAGGCGAACGCACCGAACGCTCGGTTGGTGGCGTGCCTTGCGCCGGTGAACCTTGCGGTTCCTCGGGGATGACAGCGAAACGACCACGTTGCAATATGGGTGAAATAGCACCATAATTAGCTGGAATGCAAAATGAGATAAAAAAAACAGTAAGTAATTGGTTAGTGAGTTGTGTGTGTGTGTGTGTTGGTAGTTCAGGTACAGTGCTGCTTAGTTAAGACTGAGGGGCGGTTGAAAACTTTAAGTTGTTTTTTTTTTGTAATAGTAGGGGAACTGTGGCATTTTATTTAGTTACATAAGTTAGCTACAAGCATGTGTTACCTAGAGAAAATTCCTTAAAAATACATATAATCAAATAAAACTGAACGAAGCTTGCAAGCTAATTAATCTCTTCTTCTTCTTATTTGGCACCGTTTGTCGGTTTGGGCCGACACCAAAAAGATTCGCCAGTTGCCTCTCTCCTTTGCGCCAATTGTTCATCCCAAGTGCGGACAGGTCCTTCTTCACTTGGTCCTTCCATTGTGGTCGTGGGCGCCCTTGCTTTCGTTGTCGAGGATCCTTTTAGCGGGGCATCGAACATGCGTCCAATGTGTCCAAGCGAGCGAAATAGTCACATTTTTATGCGCTTAACTATGTCCATGTCGTTAAAAAGCTCGTACAGTTCGTCATTCCATCTTCTCTGGTACGCGTCGACCACGCAAATAGTGCTATATAGTTTGCGTAGAATAGTTACCATGTGGTGATCTGAGTCGGCGTCTGCATGTCAAGAACGCTTGAAGCTTATCTTCCGTCTAACACAACATGATCTATTTAGTTCCTCGTTCTTTTATCAGAGGACACCCATTGGCTTTGTAAATGTTTCGATGCTGGTGTCTGGTACTACTAACAACCATGTTCCATACCGCGGAAAAGTCGATCAGCCTCTCTCCGTTGTCGGAGGTGTTGTCATGAAGGACGTGTTGTCCGAGGCCGTTTTGCTCTCTTCATTGAAAGACGCTTTTAGGTGGCGGGTCCCAATTCCAGCGCACACCCATTGCTGCGATGATATCTAACTACATAAGAAAATATTTCGTGTCCAACTATTATGTATACATTTTTCTTGAGCTCCATGCTGCCAGACCTTGTTTTTGGACAATTAATTTTAAACCAAAGCTCGATTAATGCTCTTACACATTAAAATTTAGTATTGTGTTGATAAAAAAATTTAGAGTTTACATGCTTTCTATGGGTTCATCGTAGTTTAAACTGGAAAGTCCTATTATCGGAGTGTGCGCCCAATTTTGCTCCACGGAGCCCTAGTTTGGTAGCCTATCCTTTATAAGTCAACAGCGCTCAGTCCTCCAAAGGGTACAAAGGAGTACATCCGGTCACTCGAAAATCTTAGAGACGATTGCTCCCAAACCGATACCTACAAGTATTGACCATCATAACATCAAATACTTTCACCAATAACTTTAAGATCACAAGGTCGGAGGAGGAGTCTTCTCCCCAGAGCTGGAATTAAAAATATATTTTTGGCCTTCTCCTCCACTGCAGTCTACACTAGTCGAAGGTGCCTGGCTATCCAGGAGGTCACTCGGCTCCCAAAAAGAAGGTCCAAGGAGCAAACCTGGGCAACAGAAGATCTCTCGCTGAATGAATACCGCGGATCTCTAAACAAGATTAAAAAATTTGTTTCAAATATTACGAGTAAGCGCACTGATGTTCAACTTTGACTAGGATTACCGTGACACAGAGTTCTGACTGTCGCAGCATATAGTTTGAAAGCACATTTGTCATTTTAAAATAATTTTTTTTTTAATATCAATTTCCCACTGTAGGAACTTAACTAAGCTGCACTGTTTAAAATAGACTAGCTACCTTATTTTTTGCTTTCTCTCTCTCTCTATCTCCCTTTACTCCATTACATTTAATTATACTTACACGTGGGCATTAGACGAAATCGCCCGAAGGTCGTCTCTGGCGGTCCTTGCGCTGCCGTTGAGGTCACATGAAAGCGACCACGTCTGGCGGCGGCCACCTCTTCGTAGCCACTGCCACCACCGCTGCCACCCGGCATTTTGTTACTGCTGCAGGTTCAGGCTGTAATAAAATACCAAAATAAATATTTATCATTGAAATAGCAGCAACAAAAAAAAAATACAAATTTTAAAAGGCGATTATAATTAAGCTAGCTCGCATTGTGGTACCTACTTACATACATACACAGACTATGCACCAACCAACACAATTATGTATGCAAGTATAACTAGATGAGTGTTTAAATAGAAAAGTAGTAGCTTTTAAAATTTTATGTTAAAGCCTTAAAGCGCACACAATGTTCATGGTAACTAGTGTACTCGTATTGACGTTTGATGGAAACAAAAAAAAACCTGAAATGAAATGAAAGCCCTGAGTAGGAAAACAAAAACTAGGTTGCGGAATGGGTTGATACCACCAACGTAGAGCAGACATGCAGCGCACCTAGAGTTAATGAGTGACTGACATGCGATAATATTTATTTGGCTTTTTTGTCTTTTCGTCATTAGTTTATTTTGCAAGGTGAACGAAATGATGCAAGAAGGGTTTGAATGTAAAGCTGCGACGCAGAAATATCTACATACATATGTATGTACATATGTATGTAGGTGCACACCCAGAAAAAGGTTTAGTTATAATAACCAAGATTTGGTTATAGTGATCAAGTGGCATAGTGGGATATGGCGAAATAAATATATAGTTCACGAAAGTCTGCAATTTACTTAAGACTTCTAGTTGGGACAAATGTATATTTGTTAATAATTACAAAACGACTACCTTGATTGGACAATATTGTTAGTTGAATAAAATCATTGTTGAGCAAATATAAACAATGCTTTGGTTGATACAAGTTTTCAATTAATTTTGTGAACTTGCTGTAAACTTGAATCAGCTAACCGTTTATTATTAGGAAAAAAGTTTCAGTTTGACACAAATAAAAATTTACTCGATGTTTGTTGTGTTTACTTTCTTCTTTTATTTGCATATATTAAGCATAAAAACACGTACATATTTACATAAGTTAGTTACTAAAGTAAATAATACATATGTATATGTTGGTAAGAATTTCCTAAAAAACAACGATGAAACAGGAACAGTCGTGCGAAAACCCAGGTCAATATCTGCTTGAAGTATACTGCTTTGCTTTTTCCTTAGCTAAATAGACACTTTCAAATTATAATTCACATTAATTATATATCCACTGAAAAAACCCCGGTTGGCATCAAACTTTATATTTTTAATTAAACTTTAAACTATGCGCGCACCGAAACAACTCGCGATGATAGCAAACCTGAAACTGAGACAAAACAAGTATGGGCATGTCATAGCACACATGGCGCAGCGATCGACATGCCATAGCTTACTGCCGTCCCTAAATTGGAGCGCTAAGCGTTGCGTTATCCATTGTCAACGAGTGTCATCGCGCGCTATACCCAAATCAACGCGTCGTCAATTTTGACGTTTTCTCATGTCCTCTCGTTTTTATTCTCGTTTCCTTTTTCACTCCTTTGTCCGTTCTCTTTCTCTTCGTCTTCTGCATCCAACTTCAGCACGTAACGCCCTGTCAAAAATGAAAATTCCATTTGCTTCATACAAATCGTATGGGCATGAGGATTTTTGACAGTTGCTTGGCGCTTGACGCGCCAATTTAGGGATGGCAGTTACTGAGCGCTCTGGGACCACATGCGTGTTTCACCCATATACGAATAGCGGTAGCGGAACAATGATTTCCACGCACAATGCAATGGTCGGCATACTAGCGCATTCAAACGATTCAATAAGTGGGACTGTGTGCATTGCTCAGCTGGCGCTCTTCGTATATGCTCAGAGAGCGCTCAGCATTCTTTAGGGGTGGCTCACAAGCATGAATATGTTCCACTCTCAAACCAAATCGTGGTTGCCTCAACTGAGATTTGGTAACTATGACTAAACCACGTGTTGAAAGAAAGCTTATCTGCATTAGCAGAGCTTAATAACATCCTTTTATGAACCATACGTTAAGTTGAATGGAATTTGTAGAAATATGCTTCAAAGAAATATTTATTAGTATTAACCAAACCCTTCAACTAAATTAACGATTTGTTACAACCTAGATGAATATTAGAAGCTTTAATATATTTAGTTATAATTACCAATCGATGGTAATAGTTCCCAATCCTTGGTAACAGTTCCCAAATATTGTCAAAATTCGGGAACTAAATATCTTTAGTTGTCGAAACTAATCCTTTTTCTCAGTGCATTAGGGTGAGTATGTTTTTTTTGCTGTATGCATATGACATAGGAGTAATCTACGCGAAACTTCGGTGTCTTGAGAAGTGCTTAAATTTTGTATAAAAAAATGTTTTAGAGTGTTTTTTTGGTATGAGGAATTCATTTCTGGACTTATCCTTTTCTTAAAACATCCGCCAGAGGGCGTAACTGTAAACAGTTTTCACATTTTCTTGGTTTTTTTTTAACAGAAAAAAAACACGTTATACTCTGCCATACAATTTTCTCGAACAACTAAAATTCAATAGAAGTGTGAAGTGGGCCACCATTTAGAGTTTATTTGTATTATCGTGTTTATTTGGTTAAATCGATTCTGCTCATTTTTTAAACAACTAAAATAAAATTTTTATTTTTCATTTTGTCATAATTTTTTTTTTGTTTTTTGGCAAATTATTAAAATTTTTAAAAATATTACTGGCTTCTCAATGGCTATAAAATCTCGTTTTGGGCTAGTATTTTTGTACGTTCTATTAACAATTATTTGCAGAAAAAAAATTCCAGAATGCATCGAAACGAAAGTTATTCAGGCTTTTCTCTTGGCGCGCAAATTTTTTTTTTTTTTTTTTTTTTTTTAAATATAAGTTCAATGCAAATCATTCTGATTCAAATATTTGGTGCCTTTCGAGTTGCAGTGAGTTTCGAATCGCAATACCGAAATGGATTCCTCACACCCAAAAACTTCTTATATCATGTTTTTTTATAAAAAAATTAAACACTTTAGCAAAATAAAAAGTTTCTAAGTAAAAAACACTTTTTTCGCATGGTTTCTTCGTAAAATTATTTTAGAATTTCACGTAAAATACTCTTACTCCCACATGCATAGTCGAAAAAATCTTCCATATAAATTGCGCCACCCTAATGTGCATAAACATAACTAATAAACTAATTGGCAAAAAAAAAATTGTTATGCGCCAGGAGAAAGATATTAGATAGTGACGACTGACATATTACTTAAGTATTTTTGGATAACAAATATGCATGTAGCGGCTTGCAAACAGCCGAAATATGTACGTATGTAGTTAGAAGCCAATAAATACTAGATGACGGAATGAGGGAGTGGTTTACTAGTCTTTTAACCATTAATGAATTGCTTATAAAACGTTCATGATATGATAAAATGAAGTAAAAATCGAGACACCGAAGCAGCTAAACAAATTTTATCAGCATCAAAAAATGCTCGCTGCAGGTCATGGCAATTTAACGCATATCTCCTGGTTACTTAGCTACTATTCTAATTAATAAAACTTCGTTAGTCTATTAATATACGAAAATAATACTCAAATTCTTACGGTATGTTCTGCCTACTCAAAATAAGATAGCGGAGCAAATTGCGTTGGCCTGTTGGTGAGCGTGGGCATCAAACAAACAGTCAACACACATGAATACGCATTTAGGCACCCTCGTCACTGTTGGCAGTTATAATTTTGAAAAAAATTTGTGTTTTTTGTTCCATGAATGCCACTATCCAATTCCTATTTAAATATACTCGCTGATTCCGAAAATGTAATTAATTTTTTTTTCTATGGATAGGTTTTCGAGATATTTGCAATAAACCTTTATTAAGCTAAAAAATGTGATTCCACTTAATTACGTATATCTAACGAACCAATTTGAGCAATCATTATACGAAATATGGCAAACGAAAGCTAAGAAAATTCTCCGCGCATATGTACATACATCACTCTTCGATAGGTTTGATAGTTTCTGAGAAATTAATTAGTCATTCCAAATTTTTTGTTTTTTGAGGGAAAAATAAAAAAAATTCAAACTTTAACTGAACGCTGTGATGGTGGGCGCTCGAAATCGTTGAGGGAATGTCTGAGCTATTTATCAATCATGTAGGAGTACTTCCTAATAAGGCAAGTTTGGGTGCGGGATCACAGTGACATGTCGGAAAATTTCGTAGCTGATGACCTGGCAAGGAATGGCAGCCTGAAAACGTCACCAGATATTGAGCAACTAGGAACGCCTCTGTCCTCCTGTGGTAAACTCTTGCACGGTTGGGTCTCGCGTAAGCTCCGCGACCGCTGGGCATGCGCAATTCGCGGGCGGTCAAAGGCGCTCCTTACGCTTGTAAAGCCCCAGCTCTCGCTAGTGGTGTGGGTCCTGACAGGCCCTTGTGCGATTGGTATTCACGATATAAGACTAGGAATCTAAACTGATTCCTTTTGTTTCAGCTGTCAAGAGGAAGATAAGGTGGAATGATCTCAACACTTTCTATTAGATTGCCAAGCCTTCGCGAGGCTAAGATGGAGAATTTTGGCTCCAAGTGTCCAAGTGTGTCGCTTGCCTGACGCAACCACTTTGACCTAACCTAAAGCCGTGACGAACCTAAGCATTATATGCACCATGGCTTAAATTAAGTGAGAACGAAGCAAGTCCTTGGAGCAAGCGGTACTCCTAAAGGCCAACTGGACTTACCGTTTTTTTAGGTATCCATCTTAAATTGGCTACATGCGCAGCTCCTTCTAACTAACCTAAACTTTGGGGAATATTTTATTGTAATATGAATCCCTGATTGATGCTCTTATTAAGAGCGTCCTTTTATTTATTTCATCTCAATGACGCCTTGAAGTCCCGCCGTTAAACTTCAAAGTTTACCCAATTATGTAGAACAATGACATCATTCTTTAAAGCAATCGTTCAAATAAATATTTCTTTGTAATGCCATTTTGTGTTACTGCAACAAATATCCATGGACTTATGTATGTGTGGGTGTTTATTTTGCTGACGTCATTTGTCATAAATTCGAGAAATCCTGCGTTTGATTGAATACGGAAATAGGAACAACCCACATAAGTGTCATTCTGGCGAGGATGTTTGCGTACACATATGTACATACATATGTATGTACATCAAACCCAAAACCATTTATGACAACCGAGGAATTTAAACAAAAATGCCAATAACCACACACACAATCAACTACTTTAGTTAAACTTCAACGAGCAACGAGCTTTGTTTGCTCACATCGACGTCAGCATGGAATTTCTTTTACGGTTTTACGTATGAATGGCGCTGTGATTTAATGGACTGCGATTGAAGTAAGAACTATACTTGTACCTACGTACGTATGTACATATATATGTATATACATACACAAAAACGGTGTAATAACCACCAAGCAGTAAATTGCGGCAAGAGTTCCTCATTACAACTGGGCATCGTTTATGCAGTTCTTACAGTATTCATTGAAGCCAATGCTCTGCCTTCAGCCTCACATCGTCAGGTCTGTGGTTTTCCTAACGGCAACTCTGTTCTTTTGAGGTTATGTCGGATCCTCACGACTTTATATGAATATGTATAAAAGCTACCTCAGCGCAGACAAACAATGAAAGGATACATATATTGTACTTACAAAAGATTTTGTTAAATATTTTACATTTTTTATCTTTAATTGGCTCTACTGAAACATATGAAATTTTGAGTTGTGTCGTTATTGTAGAGGACCATCAAATGTAGATATTTTTAAGTGGCCTTTAAAGCCCAAATACCTCGTTTTGTTATTGAGACATTAAAGTTTTATATAAAAAAAAAAAAAACTACAACCCTCGCAACAATCTCAGAGAATATATTCGCTAATAAAACACATCACATTATTAACTTAATATTTTTGTTGAGAATACTGCACCGAGAATGAAATTTATGTTACCTAATTGCCATTTCAAAAAATTATTTATGGCAAAATATTTCTCAGCTAATCAACAAGTATGGATAATTTGAAGCACTTGCCGCTAAGTAATATGCTAAATAATTTACATGCGTCGTTGTATTTGTATGTGTTTTAGTAAATTTACATTAGGGTGGTCCAAAAATGTATGGGGAAAAAGTAAAGTCTGAATTCAAATACTCTCACCCCCTAAGATTATTTTATATCGAAAATAATACTCCTATTTTTTTAAATCAAAAAATACTTAGAGGTCAGTTAAAGCGTTCAAAGTTGCCAAGGTATTTTAAATGAAAAAAAAAATATTTTTTGTAGAAATTCTTCTAAATCAATATATTTTAATCGGCGAACCCTGTTTCTCATCAGGAGACTTCAAAGCGTAATACCCAATTATTTGTTTAACCATTTTTTAATACTAACTATTTTTTATGGGTCCCAAAAAAATTCAAAAATACGAAATTTTTCTCAATTTTGCATATTTTCATGCCATATTAAACCAATTACTACCAACAAAATGAAAACAACAAATTTACCAATTGTTTAAACAAATTAATGTGGTTTAATTTGAAGCTTTTATTATACTAAGCTACAAAGCTGCAATTATTTCTAAAATTTTGCACCCTTTTTGGTGTTTTAGGGGGCTCATATTAAATGGTTGGTACTAAAAAAAATTTAAATTTTCGATGTCTCCTGAAGAAAAACAGAGTTTGCCCATTGAGAGTTTGTTGATTGTACGATAATTTGTTTTTTTTTTTTGTTCATTTAAAATACATGGGAAATCGTTGAGCGCCTTGAACGATCTCTATTTTTTTTTTTCAAAAAACAAACATATTTATTTTTTATTTTTTTGTTGAGATAAGTAGAACAGTCCTAGGGGATGAGAGCATAAAAATTCCGAATTTACAATTTTTTTTTTTACCACCCTAATGTACATACAAACATATATCAGTGTACATATATATGTGTGCAATTTTAAGCTACTTACCGCTACAATTGGTTCACTGCCACACTGTTGGCAGCGTTGACGATTAAATGAAAAGTTTCTGCTGAATCGTTTATTTTGCGCGTTTTAATTTTTTTTACTTTTTTTGCAGCTTGCTGTTGGTGTTTTTTCACTGCTTATTGCTTTTTAAGCCGGCAACTTTAGAAAACGCATGCAACAAATGCGAGACGCGTGCGCTTTTTTATTTAACGATTTTTTTTTTTACCTTTTTTATCAACACAAATGCGCGACGGGAGTTGATTTAAATTCTTGCACTCGACTTTAACCGCGTTTAATTATTTAAGCTGCAATTCAAGTAATTATAGCAAACAGCATTTGAGATCGTCGTAATTTTTAATTAACTGCAAATTTACAATGTGTACTTATTTTCAAATTTTTTTTTATTATTTTTTTATTCTATTTGCATTTGCAAAATATTTTATCTTTTTGCTGAAAATAGTAGGACGATTAAATAGAACTTCAAAACTACTTCAGGCGCAATATTTATTTGTATATGCGATATAAGAACTGGCGCTTGATTTTTTTTTTTGTGTTTTTAATATTATTTTAAATAATATTTGTCGCCGCCTTTTTGTTAGGTTTTTATTTAATTTCACTTTTTATTTGAGTACGCATTCGGAGTTTTCCTCTACAGAAGCACACCGCTACAAAATGAGCGAGAACAAAAAATTATTAGAAAAATTTTTTAATTTGTAAAAATTATTGCACAGCAAATCTTAAACCTATAACCTGAAACTATTATTAATACTTCTGAGAAAAAAAAAACTAAACTAAAATCGAGTTTCTTAAAATCGTTGATAATTGCATTTCATTACATTTTCGTGGTTGTTGACGATAACGGTAAGTAACAAGTTTCACATATCGCACATTGCGTCCAACATTTTTTTTGTAAACATACTTCACACAAAACATAAACGTAAAAAACATAAAAAAAATAGCAGGTTCGTACTTTTACAGTTCGATTCGGTCTTTCAACTCCCAAGCGTCTGGCAATTAACTTTAAAACTCTTTACTGTCTTTCAAAATACTAATTGATAGATCTGCTAATGAGGAGGTCTTAGCATTATGCTGTTCACTCTTTTGCAAAACGGTTTTTAAAAATTAAATTAAATTAATTAAGTATAAATTTTTTCTTTTTAAAACAACGAAAACTAATCTAAGCGAAAATTAAATTTAAAAATAGAAAAAAAATAATAAAATGAACTTAAATCAAAATATTTTTAAAAATTAAAAGGAACAATTTTTTTCTTTTTATATCTAGAAATAAAATCTAAAAACTAAATAAAACAAATTAAGTAAAAAAAACAGAAAATAATACTTAAAATTTAAAAAATATACATAAAAAATATATTTAATTAAAAAAAAAATATATATGTATGATTTAAAAAAGAAATTGTATTATTTCAAAAAATAAAAAAAAATAAGATTCAAGAAATGAAATGAAATAAATATACATATATATTTCTTTTGAAAATCAAAATTTAAAAAACTACAAATTAAAAGAAAATGAAATTAACAAAAGAAAAATATATTAAATTAAAAAATAAATTAAATCAGTTTCTAGAAATTCAATGAAATCAAAACATTTATTTCTTTTATAAACAATAAAGTCTAAAAATTTACAGAAAAAAGAGAAAAATAATATTCAAAATCGATAAAGTTACTAAAAATTAAATACAATTTTTAAAAATCTTTTTCTTTAGAAAGAATAAAACACCTAAAATGAAATTAAGATAATTTTTTTTAAATAAATAAAATAAGAGGCAAAATGCAATAGCATTAAAAAAATATATATATATTTTTATGAAACATTACAATCTAAGAATTAAAAGAAAATTAACTCAAAAAAGAAAAAAAAATTTAATTACAAAAAAGAAAAAGTACTCGAACTTGAAACTCTCGAATTGCACGCCATTGCGGTCACTTTCTCAAGATATTTTAATTTGTATGAAAAAAATCAAGAGAAGCTCGGCCAAACACGTCAATCATTATTATTATTATTATTATTATTATTATTATGAAAAAAATCAAACTTTAATATGGAAAAAATTAAAAAATAACAGATTTTTTGTAAATTTTTTTTTTATTTCTCTTCCAAAAAAAAAAAATTAAGCTAGTAACGGAGAAAATCGATAGTTAAATAAAAAAGGTTGTGTATGGTCATATCAAAATGCGTAATGATTTTTGTGTATGAAATCATGATAAAAATATAGTAAGGTAAAACCGCTGAGAGTTACTTTTAAAATTCTTGACGTTTCCAAACATTTTAATTTTTAAATTTACTCACAAACTCACACACACATTTTCCTTTTCAATCTCAAGCAACAACAATTTCGAACAATTTCAAATTTTTATTTTCAATTTTATGATTTTAAAATGCTGGCAAACTTCAAAAAAAAAAATCATGGCCGACAAAATGAGAGAACGGTTCTACCTTGCCATGTTTTTATCATGTATGAAATATGAGCAGCAAAAAATGTTACTCATACGCCATGTTATACGAATATCTTATCCCTTGATTTTTTTCACAGTTAAAGTTTCAATGTTTTTCCATTGACAATGCAAACTTTAAATGAAAATATCTTGGGAAAATTATCTGATCTAGAAAAACGGTATACAGATGCGTAGTGTATGACTCAAAATAAAGCTTACGTGTTTTGACGTTTTTGTTTGTCATTTTAGCGTTCCTACAGTGTTACAATAGAAATTGAGAGCTTAAAATGTTCTACGAAATTTCCCTCTAAATTTTTTTTCTAGGTCTCCGAAGACAATAATTATGCCAAATTTCTTTTAGGCATTAAAAATAAAAAAAACGTGTGGTATTTACAAACTGAATAACTTTATAAATGACACTCGTATTTTTAGTGTCCAACTTTGCCATTAAAATTTTTAAAAATAATTAAACATAATGCCGAATTTCCACTAGGCATTAAAATGACAAGGTTGTGCATTAAAAAATAATCGTATCATTACGTTGAATAAATAGTCGTTAAGTTCATGTCCACGTGAAATTTTTCAAATTACACCAATTTTTGTCATTTTAATGCCTAGTAGAAATTCGGCATTATGTTTAATTTCCACTAGGCAATAAAATGACAAAAAAATTATGCCATTTAATAAATGTCATGTGGAAACAGATATAATACCAAACATTTTAATTTAATGCCAGTTGGAAATGTAGCATGAATGATCAGTGGAAATCCTGCATTATGCTTGAAGTCAATTATGCAAAAATTGTGGCCAAAAAGGGGAATCCTCTTAGGATTTAACTATCACAGATGAATACTTCCACTTGGACATTGTTTGGGAGAGAACGTAAAATGGTTATTCCACTATGCATACGCTCTTTTTCAGTTGTTAGAGAAAATATTATCGTATAGAAAACGCACTAAAATGAACCGACGAATTCCCCTTTAAATATTTTTTAATAATTTTGGCTCATTAAATCACAAACCACAATCATTTTTAATTTGAAAACACTGAATTCTTTGATATAAGCAGCGATGTGAATCAGTATGCCAGCAAATGTTCCAATTTACAAAATTTTTACTTTTATGATTTCGTGTAAAGCGAGCATTTTTTTCTTTCATACAAATAAAATTTTAAAAATTTCATATTTGCTAATTTGCATTGCTTTTCAGTTCATTTAACTCTTTGCGATTCATTTTGCATTTACTTTGCAAATATTTTCACTGATTCTCGTCAACATAAATCACTTTTTAAAACTTGATCTCCATATGAGGCACACACAGTTTTTCCACTACTTTGCATATTTTCATAAATTTTCTGCATTTTTACAACACCACCACTCACTGCATCAGCAGCTCCGAATTTTCGCGAGACTTCTGGCCTTCTGCAACGGAAGCCTGTTAACGCAAAGAAACTCGGAATAAAATTTTGCCACCAACACTGCTACGGCCACTTGGCAGCTACTGCGATTATTGATTTTATGTTAGGTTTCGTTGCGTTGCGTGGCGTTGTGTTGTGCTGTGCTGTGCTGCGCTGCAATGCGTTGCTTTGCCTTGCGGCGTTTTTTTATTCACCGAAGTGTGTTTTTTGTTTTTGTTTTTACAAGTATGCTGCTGAATTTGCTGGCACGCGCCGATGAAATTGCTATGTGCCACGCTGCTGCTCTGAGTGCCGTTGCCGTTACTGGTACAGTATAGTACCGGAAACTAACTGCAGCGCAATGCAGCCGCCCTTTCATTCACCCTGCCGAGGAGGAGGGCTCACAATTGTTTTTTTTTTGCTAGCTTTTAAAAAATCGTTGCTGTTGAAAATTCTGCAGAGCAAATTTTACAAACGCTTTATGCAATCTGCTATGAATTTCGCTACTTTTGGCAATCGAATTTGCTTTAAAGCGATAAATTCATTTAAGCTTGATGCTTTTCTCTTCATACATACGTTTTTTAGCAAATTTGTATAGAGACACATTAACACGGTTATGCACACACGTACCCGCCGTTTGGTTAACTAAAATGGAAAATTTTTGCAACTAAACCGAAATCACAAATTGTACCAACCGAGAAAATTAGTCACACTTCACGGAAAATTTTTACAAATTTTCGTCAATTCACGGTCTATATACTTTTTTTCTTTGTGTTATTTTTTCTTTTTGTTTTAATAAAAATATCTATGCTCCTTTTTTGCACAAATAATTTTTGTCTAGCTGCTGTGTTGTGCTGACTTCGAACAGCTGCAATACATTGGTGTTCACTACTCTTTGCTCAAGCAGCAGACAAGGCGCAAGCATGCGAAAATGTCTATAGTTAACCTGCTGTACTCGCTGCTGTTTCGCGCTCTCCACTTACATACATACATGCACACAAATCTACTTGTCACGCTTTTTCTTGTATGTCATTTTGCGATTTTCCCGCAGCTGATTTGCTTTGGTTTTAGTGAATTTTCTTGCGTTGCGCTCTATCGCTCTCTCTGCAGCGCATGTTCTTGCTCTCTGTCTTCTCTTTCTTGTATAAAAATAAACTTTTGAGTTCATTTACATTTCGACATTTCGACATTTCATGAATTTTTGCATTTTCGTATTGACGTTATAAAAGTTTCTATGCTAAAGCAGCAGTAAAATGTGTTGAAAGCAATGCTTGTAAAATTTTATTTCGACCTACACTGCGTATGCGTGACGTGAAGCAATGCACGTGTTTATTGATTACGTATACGCCAGGGTAAGTCGGTTGAGTAGATTTTTACGGATGAAAAACGAAAAGGCGCTGTTGGAGGCGAATTCATTAAAAAATCATAATAAAAATAAGAAACTAATGGAAATTCAGACAAAAAGTTAGTTAGTTAGCTTTAAGTGCAGTTTCGTTAGATCTTTACCAGCTGTAAACTTCCAGTTACATTCATTGTTAAGGACGCCAGTTCGAATACGAAAACGATGATTACATATGTACATATGTGTGCCACATGTCGTCATACGTACATACGTGCGTAACATAGACAACCTTTTACCCAGGCGACGATATTTTCAGTCAGTCAATAAAGTTTAGGTGCAGCGAATTTTTTACAATACCGGCAACTATTTTTTTTCCCCCCTAATTTTTTATAAAAATATGGTTAATTCTACAACAAAACCTCAAAAATCAAATCTCTAAACCTCATGCAAAATTAAAAACAATTCTGCAAATTTTCATCCAAATATTGCCTTTTTTATTTACACTCTTTAGAAAAAGGTTGAGTACACATTCTTTTAGCAAATTCAATTTTAGTATAACAAAGTTTGCGCTTTCTCCATAGTTATAAAATAATGTTCGATAACTTTTTATATGGAAAAAATGTGGGACAACTTCAACAAAAAAATTTGCCGAAAAGCAATGGTAAGTCCTAGCTTCCTCAAACTTGCACTTTATTGTAGTAAAATTGAGTGGGCTAAACTGCATACTCAACTTTTTTCTAGATTGCGTAAACAAAAAGTCCAATATTTGAATTAAATTTCGTAGAATTTTTGTTTAATTTTGCACAAGGTTTGGAACTCTGATCAACCATCTTTTTCCAAAAAAAAAAAAAAAAAAAGTTAATAAAAAATTCGCTCTACCTATACTTTATTGACTGACTGTCGCCACGCTGTACAATACTGCCTTATTAAAGCATAGTACGGAAGTAGAAGCCGTCTGCAACTCTCTAAAGAATTACTTGACTCGCTCGTAGACAAAGTAAAAATTTCATTCGTTATAAATAACCTTCTCCATACAAGTCATCTGGCCCAGATGCTATCATACCGGTAATGAGCAGAAATCCATGGCATTCTGGCAAGAAAGGGTCGATAAAGCCAAAATCACTTTGACTATCATCCCGAAAAGCTGGAAAAAAGTCAAAATTGTCTTCATTCTCAAACCGAGAAGAAGAAATTACGAAAAAGCCAAAGTCTTCATACCAATAAGTCTTACATCTTTCCGCAAACTTTCAAGACAACATGCATACATCAAGGACAGGTCAACAGAAACTGACCTACATGAAGTTGTAGGTACCATAGAAAAATCAATCCATTACAAGCAGTACACGTTGGTCGCCTTTTTCGACATAAAGAGGGCCTTCAAAAACATAACAATCCCTAACCCTAACCCTGTTCGTTCTAGTTACATTTATGTTATTCTGTTTTCCTTTATCTTCTTTTCTTCTTTATACTCTATCCATAACAAAATCGATACTGACATCCAACAAAATATCGATAACAAAACCGATAAAAGCATCGTTACAAAATCGATGACAAATTTGATCAAAATTTCGATAACAAAAGCGATAAATAATCGAAAGCAAAAATCGATTAGAAACTCGATAAAAATATCGATAACAAAATCGAAAAAGTATCGATAAGAAAATCAATCAAAATATCGATAACAAATTCGATAGCAAAATCTATAAAAATATCGAAAAAAGATATCGATAACAAAATCGTTAAAAATATCATTATCAAGATCGATAAAAATATCGATTAAAAATTTCGATAACAAAATGGATAAAAAGATTGATAACAAAACCGATAAATCCGAAAATCTCTAAAATCCCAAAATAATTCGCAGATTGAGTCTCTGTGTCTCTATCTACATATGTATATTTTTTTCTCTATAATTGCCTTTATTTTAATCTTTCTTCCCCTATCTTCATCAATACTTTTATCGGTATCCTCATCCTCATATTTTTCTTTATACATATTTATCTTGGTTTTTAGATTTATCTTTATCATTTTCTTCATCTACATATGTATTCCCCTTCACCTTTGCCCTTATTGTAAGTAAAGTGTTTTAATTTAACTTGATCTTCATTTTTGTGCCTTTATCTTTACGCATCTTCGTTTTTGTTTTTATTTTTACCTTTGCCTTTGTCCTTTTATTTATCTATGTATGTGTTTACTTGGTAGGAAATGGTCAACATTTGCATCTTAGCCTTTCCATTACTTCTATTCTTCTATGCCTATGCAGATTTCGCCCGAACTTATACTTGTTTTTGTTTAAAGTACCTACTATAATTTTTCAATGACAAAAATTCATTGAAAGTTTTTTTTTTGGATTCCATTTTTTCCGTGGGTATGTTGCGCCATCTAAAAACAAACTAATTCCACGAAAATAATTTCTTTGAAAATACATATGTACATATATATGTTTCTAATCCCATCACGACATATGGGTTGTAAACAATAAATTTTGAGGATTAAAATACTCTTAACTTGCGTTGAAAAATTGCCTCATAAATTATAGGCGCAGAATGTCTCAAAATCCGATAAAACTATATTCGCCTACCCATTCAAAAGAAATTTTCAATAAAAGATTTCTGTTTGAAATTAACTTACGCACTCTTTTTGACAATTTTGTTTTGTACATATTTCTCTCTTTTTTTCTTCTTCTTCCAGTAGCTAAGTGAGGATACGCCTGCATAAGCACAGTATTGAAGCCCCAAAGTATGCTTTGCCAAAAAAAAAAATAACGGTAACCATTAAAATTTAACAAGAGAGTACAGCAAACAAGTAGAGAAGAGAGAGAGTTGGCGTACTCAAAAGCATGTGTGCCCAGAGGAGCCGCCATAGCAAACAGAAAATGAAGAACAATAACAAAAAGCACAAAGAACAAATGCAAACGTACATGCATACAAACATTCAAATACATACATAAGTATAATGAAAATACATCGCAGTATTTGTATTTGACTCGCTGATTAGCGGTGGGTCGGAGGGGGTGGGGGTGGTGCGACCAAGCGACTTTAGTGAAACACGTGAGCGCACTTTGGTGTCGAAAGGAGACGGTTAGTAGTGTTAGTAGTATGTATAGAGGACCATTAGTAGGTGACAAATAGAAGAGGGTTGTTACCCACCACACCCTGCGTTGGGGTTGCCTGCTGTTGGGTGCCAGCAGCTCAGCAGAGAATGCCATAAATGCAACATTGCTGCTGTTGATTACTTAGAAAAAAATGCAATATTTTTTAATGGGCATACATATTTGGAAATAGCAAATGAAAAAAGAAAAGAATAGTAATTTTATTAATTGCCAACAGCTGAGATCACTTGGACACGATTAGCGGCGTCAGTCATTAAGTCATGGCGTGAATTCCTAGGAATTCATAAACTCCTTGTTTCTATGTGACGGCAGCAATGAAATGTGCTACAAGTGCAAGTCAAAGGGCGAGCTACGTGGCTGTATTTATAATTTTTTTCATTCCATTCCATTTTTCGACTTTAGCGAGTGAGTCATCCTCGCAGGCGGCAAGCAAGCTAGCTGTGTACATATTTAGTTGGCTGGTCGGTTGGCGTGTTGCATGTCAGTCGGTTGCAAATTGTCACACACACATAGATATGTATGTATGTATGTAAGCACATAGGCATCTATATTTGTACATTAGGGTGCATCACGCTCCATAAAAAAAAAAAATGGTACAGTTTATCCAGCGCAATTATAAAATCTATTATATTATGTTGTATTTGCAGCCGAAATATTTAAAAAAAAAAATATTAAGATTTACATGAGCTCAACTGATTTGAAAATACCACCAAAATCGAGTTTTTATAAATAAAATTTATTTTAAAAAATATTAAAAAAAAAATCAGGATGATGGAAGAGTTTAAGCTTAGACGACCTCCATTAAAATGTTTACAAATTTTTTCTCAACAGATTCAACAGCTCACGTAAATCTTAATATTTTTTCAGAGTATTTTGGCGGAAGTCTTAAAATAGAATACAATTTATAATTACGGTGGAAAAACCGCAACTTTTTTGGTGATGCACCCTAGTGTAAAGTGATTTTTCGAGACCGAAAGTGGTGAAGCCAGTACATACATACATATGTAAATACATATGCCATAATTACGGTAATTTCGCGACAAACCCGTTCTGAACTTGAACAATTTTCATGAATTCGCAATTTTATGTATTATCTGCTAAATTTGCCTTTCACTACATTCGTTGGATCGCACACTTTTCATTCCCACCTCGCTCAATCGTAGGCCGCTCAGACGCACTGCCATTCATCAATCCATCAGTCGGTTAACTGCCCATCAAGCATGTGCCGAGGCTGTTGTGAGGCTGCTAATCTACAGATGGCCCCATTTACAATAATTCCGCAGAGAGTGGGGCGAGTATGTGTATCTGTACGTATGTACATTAGGATGCCTCGCCAGAAAAA